CTAGTACTCCATCACCACCTCAAGGTGACCCCGCTATGGGCTCCAACCATCCCAGCATAGCCAACACATACAATTCTATAGAGCTGGCACCTCTTTAGAAGGGGGCCTCGATTTTCAACACATACAATTCTATAGAGCCAACACATACAATTCTATAGAGCTGGCACATACAATTCTATAGAGCTTTAGAAGGGGGCCTCGATTTTCAAGCTTGGGATGGTTCAGCGAACACCAAGGATGGTTGGAGCTCATAGCAGGGCCACCTACGGGTTCAGCGGCCAACCACGAAGAAGCGGCATGCAGAGACGCTGAGAGATGGAGTCCTCCATAGCTGCAGGCAAGCCTTGAAAATGGAACCCTCCTTCCTCCTGCCCTTGGTGTTCGCTGAAATGCTCTAGTACTCCATCACCACCTCAAGGTGACCCCGCTATGGGCTCCAACCATCCCAGCATAGCCAACACATACAATTCTATAGAGCTGGCACCTCTTCCTCCACAACCGAGGACCTCCTCTCCATCTCTGCAGTCACTCCCGTCACGCGATACCAACATTTTTTAAGCCCTGGTTTCTGAGGAGCAGCAGCATCACTGCTCGCCTTGTGAGATGGGAGAGCTGGGAGCATCGGTAGTAATTTGGTTGGTATCCATACTGCTATTTCCTTGTCCTGGAGGCAATACCCGATTGCCTCAAAGTCCTTCAGGCAGTCTTTTGGCTGAAAAGTATTGATTCTCAGATCTGTCTGCAACCTACCCCTGGTACTGACAATGACTCGAGCCTTCATGCAGTCTACGTTCAGCGACTGTTCCGACGCCTCTCCTGGCGCTGCACCTACTGGACTGGCTTGTAATATAGCTGGAGCCCTTGGAAATCCGCACACTGTCCCTGAAAAACTTGTAGTACCTGCATGTTCATCGCCAACTTACAAAATTACCCTTTCAAGTCTAGCATTTGGAGGTAAGGCCCCCTAGGGCTCATCCACGGACATTCATATGTAATGACCGCCCAAAAAAACAGGCAGAACACTGCTGATTTCTGAGTTTGCCCGCTGGAATGTATGCCTTGCTGAGATTCCCGCGTGCTGCTGAGTTTTCTAAGTCTGTGTGTGTGCGTGCTTGCTGGTCCGTGTGCCTGTCTGAGTGCTTGTTGGCCTGACTTTGTGTGTGGCCCGCCAGGGCACTTGTTTGTTTGGGAGGCCTGCAGGGCTGGCACTTGTTTGTTTGAGAGACCAAAGGGTCCCCTTCACATCAATTAAAGGGCCCCTGCAGGTACCTCAAATGGCTCCTACAATACATGTGGACTTATTGAGGACCACTGCTTCAACGAGAAGGATGGCCACGTCATATGTGGAAGAGGTGGGAGCAGACCACCAATATATGCTGTGGGTTCGAGTTCAGGGCTGTAGCTCGGCAGTTATGGGTCACCAATTCAGCTAGACCCTGTTCGTGTCTCCACGTGATCATCAGGGCCTCCTTCCACCACTCACCAAATGTATATAACATTAGTAGAAGGAATCTTCTGCTAAAACATGGAACCATACACCGCCATATGCTATGTCTTTTGTGCATGTGGTGAGTAGTGGAGGAGCCCCCACCCTACGTATTCGTAAGGAAACAAAAACAAAAAACGAGAGAGCCACAGGCATCTTCATTCTAAGTTCCTAACCCATAACTGCGGACATGCAGACCTGAATGTCAATCTTCAGCATATATTGGTGGTCGGCTGTCCATGCAAAACACATCTTGTAACTTCTGTGGGGCAGGTCACCATTGGGCAACTACCCCCTTCTTGTGAATTTTCCCCACCACTGTGTGGGATTCGCAGAAGGGAAGGGGAAGGCCAGTTTCCACACCCCGCCTAAAATAAAAGTTGGAATGAGCCCTACTTTCATGATTCGCCATTTGAAACTTTTGGGGGAAGGGCCTGCGGAAATCGAAATTCTGCAGCCCTTGCCCAAAAAAAACATTTCGGGCCAGGGGGGCGGCCGGTTTCTGAACTTGCGCGGTGAGTTGAACATTTTGCCCAGTTGGGGGCCCTAAGAAATAACAAAACCCCTACTTTTTTCTTTTTTCTTTGGGAATTTGGACCTAATTTTTCCGGTGCGCTGCACGGTGCGCAAATCCACGCACCGAGGTGCGCCGCAACTAATGTATGCACACAATATGCATGCTAAAGGGGGGCTTGTGGTTTTCCCCATCGGAATCCCCATATCCTGCCTAAGCAGTACCCCTGTACCGTGCGTATAAGTGTGACTCAATTCCATACGCACAAATTTCAGAATGTCCTCAAATTCCAATAGCCTCCAGTGACCCTTCCTGTTTTCTTTCTAAACAAGCTACCGCTGTACTGCGGGGTCTCACCTACGATGGGCCTCGGGAGCCCAACCCCTGCCGACTCCTCTCCTTCGTCCCCTTATGCGCTAGCCAGGGGTCGTGAGGTTCCCTTTGACCGGGAGCTGCTCTTTTTAGCAAAATCGTCCGCTCCCCAGACTGCCAGTCCGGAGTCCGATTTTTGCCCCGACGAGCAGTTGTTGGGCGGTTCAGCGCCGCAGTCACCCGGATACGAGAGCAAAAAGACTTTGGCAAAATCAGCACCACGTCAATTGAATACGACAAGGAAGAGAACTTAAGTGCTAAGGGAAAAGAGACTGGACCCCGGTCGGTGCTGACTCGAGCTTGCGCCGAGCGACGAACTCTCCTTCGGTTTAGTATCGCATCCACCCGAGTGAGAGGTCGAGAAACTTCAATCAGATTACCATCACGATAACCGCATAGAGTGTTCGGGGGAAGAAGCCGAGTACGACAAGAAAAAAAAACTGAGCACCATTGGGAAGGAGATTGAATTGGGTCGGGACCATTTCGGGCTGGCACCTAGCCCAACGACGAAAGCATGGAACAGATCGCGTCTCCCTAGAAGAGCCTCAAAGGGAACAACCGATTCGATCAAATAGCCACCGTCCGGTAGAAGCCCCAATGGGGGGCTCGCCGGTCAGGGTATTGCAGACCCCGTCGGCGACCTGGGTGGCCAGCTCCTCTCCCGTTCCCCGTTCTTGCCTTTTCCCCTCCTCTCCTCTTTTCCCCGTGGTCAGCACTTCGCTTCTAGCAACAGTCGAACCCAGCCGAGTGGCTAGCCCCGCCCACGTTCGAGGACAGCGACCGTCTAGGTAGTCAGGCCCCTCTCTCTCTTTCTTCCCTGGCCGCCGTTTGGTTACAGTCTGTCGGAGTCGAGCTCGCTCGCCATCTCCTCTCTCTCTCTCTCTCTCTCTCTCTCTCTCTCTCTCTCTGCCTCTGCCTCTGCTACCCCACCTTCATCGGAGCCGAACTCGCCGAAGCCATTGTCCGCTGGTCCGTCGGCTGCTCGTTCCCTCTCTTTCTCTGTCTCCCTGACTCTATCGTGCCTCAACCAGTCGGAGTTGAGCTCGATCTGCCGCCCATTCGTCGTTCCCTCTCTCTCTTTCTCCCTTGGCTGCTGTTTCGTTACACTCAATCGGAGTCGAGCTCGCTCGCCGTCTCCTCTCTCTCTCTCTCTCTCTCTCTCTCTCTCTCTCTCTCTCTCTCTCTCTCTCTCTCTCTCTCTCTCTCTCTCTCTCTCTCTCTCTCT